GAAATATAAGTTACCTTCCCTTAAATGCATCCATTTCCCTGAAATTGGTGTAAAACAAATGATTTAACAGTGTGCTTTTACCTGTTGAGATCATGGAAGACAACGTGAAACTTCAAATGGAATAAGCAGAAATTACAAGGCTAACAAGAAAAATGCCAAAAAAAAAATCATTCATGGCATGCGTTAGAATTAAAAAAATAAGATGCAGGAAAGATATATATATATATATATAGAGAGAGAGAGAGAGAGAACTAACTACAGAAGTTTATGACAATATCATATAGAAATGAGCCCACATCAAAGTGAGATATGAAAAATGTATTCGTTGAAAGCTGAAGTGGTAAACTCCAAGCGTATCAGACACTCACATGTAACTCACATATATCACATATTTCTAATTCAATATCATTATGGGAAATGGAACAAATAAATGAATCAGCTTAGTGTGAACTATAAATAGGCACCTATGAAACAAGAAAGGACAAGTATAAATCAAGATGTGAAGAAGATAACAAAGCATACCGCTGCTCTGAGGTCCCATGATAGAAACCACGGCATATGACAACCCGCATTCAGCAAGCTTTATTTCCTTTATAAAGCGTTCAGTTCCAACATCATCGAAGGTACCATCTCCATCAATAAGTTGAGTTGAATAACATTCCTCAGTCGTGGCTGTCAAACGAAATGTTCATACCATGTGTAAGAAAAGACGACAAAAGCTTCCATCAGACAGCTCTAAACTAACTGTAAGTGGCTCATATACCTCACTGAGGTTAAAATTAAATCTTCCATATCAGTTGATCAAGGAAAATATTAAGAATACCTCAACTAAAAAGAAATAGTAAGTTCATTAATTTTGACAGAATCAATTTGGCAACTTTAATATCTAGAGTAGCTTATCTTCAAAAATTGGATTTTCACCTTTTTTTAGTTTTCCTCTGTTTTCTCAGCAACCAAACATGCAGTATGCATAAAAATTTATCTCTACTCCCGATCCAAAAAAAATCAGATTTACGATTCTCAAAGAAACTCTTAAAAACCTAAAACTCCAGATAACGGATCATTAACTAACAATAAAGGAAGAGAACTATTACGGCGGCGTTGCATGCTGAAACGCTCTCGTTCAGTAACATCACAGAAACTAAATAAGAAACCAAAAAAGAAAATAAACGGATCGCTGAAAAGAGCTATAAATAGAGGGAAAAAGAGATATTAAGATGAGAGGATGAGAGAGCGTACCCATTGAATCTTGTTTGAATTGTAATAGCTCAGAAACTGAGGAGATCGATGTCAATGAAAGACGGAGAAAAAGGAGGAAATATACAGAGATTTTGAAGCTCGTCTTTTCTTTAGTCTACTTCGTTTTCTTCTTTCTTTAAAAGTGGGCTGGACCGGACTGGGTATTCATTTCATTTCAATTACCGCCGAATACTGGATTAATTAATTATTACTACTTCCAATCTTTATTTAATTACTTTCTTAAAATTCTTAAATATTTAAATTTTAAAAGAGTGTTGATCTGTTAGTATATGAGATAATTTTACAAGACGTATATAAATTATGATATTCAATTTAAATTAATGTTAAAATATTTTACGTTAGGTAATTGTATTCTAAATTGATTCATAAAATTTAGAATGTTTTATATTAATCCTTCAATTAGCAATAGTGTTTTATTTTGATCCTTATTGTTAATTCTATTAATTAAAACAATAATATGTTTATGAAAATATTGAAAATTAAACTCGTGACCTTTTAAAAAATTCTTAAACATATTAAAAAAATTCAAAAGACCACGAGTTCAATTCTCATATCTCAAAAACTAGAAAAATTAACTTCATAAAATGATCATAATAAAATGATATTGATAATTTAAAGATTAATATAGAACATTTCTAAATTTTTAAATCAATTTAAAACATAAGTCATAATTTGAGAACCTCTTCTACAATTAAGTTTTAATATATTTTAAAATAAAATACACTAAATTTTAAAAATGATTTTAAACATGCATCCCCCAATAACTTCCCATGCACCAGCAATGGAGTCACTGACGTGGAAGCAACTGATTGGTTGTCCAACAGTTTTTTTTATAAGTGGTATAATACTAAGGGGGTGTTTGATTCAAGGATTGTGGGATTCCCATGGGATGGAATCTCATTCTCGGTAATGTTTTATTACCAATAGTAGATTTTTTGGGATATATTATCGGGAATGTCATTACCTCTATTCCCTTAGGTATTGTAACATTACCGGCGTTTTGTACTAAAATACCCTTAAATTTTTATTTTTTCTAAAAATATCATTCTTCTATCATTGAATAATAAAAATTCTACGAAGGTTAAATTACAAATTTATCCTTAAATTATTTTAGATTTACAAAAAAAATTCTATAATTAAAATTTTATATGAAGTTCAGGGATTAAAAAAAATTACCCTTTCATTAAACCTTTTTTATATTTTAAATTTTGTAAAAAAAATTATATAAATATTATGAATTTAATTTTTTTAAGAAAATATATAAATATTTTACAATTTGTAATATTATACAAATATATAATAAGGATAATTTGGTCAAATATACATTCCAATAATCTTTTATTCCTTTAACCAAATACAGTAATCTTACATTCTTACTAAACTAACCAAACACAAAATACAACATTCCTAATAATTCTATTCTCTGATAATCTTTTATTATCACTAATAATCTTACCTGTGAATAAAAGCACCCTAAAAAAAATGTTATTTGTTTGTCTGAAAGGATTAATGGTATAGCTGTGTTTGGTTCCAGCGGGATCACCGACTAAAGCGGGGCCCAGTGGCCACTCATCTATCTTTTTGTCCGAAAAGTGGGCGGTGAGATCGGCTGCTTTTACAGCGAGTGCGTACACGCTCTAATAATCTATCGCTAATAGTGGCATGGGCCCAGCCAAGGCTGCTTCGCTGTTCTTTTGGGTGTGTGGAATCCATGAATTATGCCAACATTCCATTACAATTACACAAACATAATTTTTAAAAAATATATATTATTTTTTATTAAAAAATTTTAAAATATTAATTTATAATTAAGAAGTCAAATGAGATATTATTTATTAATTTAATGTATTATGTTATCTTATTAACAGCAGTTAACATGAGCTAATAACAAGATGTTCATTTCGTAATAAAATTTAATATATATTTTATAAATCTAATTTCTTAAAAGATTATTATAAAATAATTAAGTGAATTTTTTAAAATTTATCCTAAATATATCTATATATATTTCCAAACCAAACCTAATTATTCAGCAATCCAAATTACAATTAAAGTTTTTTTAATTAGTCGAATTAACCTTTTTTTTCTGATGAGATTTGAGAGATAAAAATCAATTTAATTATGAAATGCATTTAAATTGTGATTTATATTAAAATGTTTAAACAGACGTGCATCTATATAAGATATATAAGGAGGTTTTCATTATTGCTATGTATTTTTTTCAGTTTTAGAAATATCCACCTTTTAGAAGAGAAATAAAGAAAATAAATATTACACAATAATCTAATTTATTGAAATACAAAGTTAACTTAAGATTGCTTGCATGGTTTGCTTAGGTTTTCATCTTCAACAGTGTATTCTTTTTACATTTTTTATTAGTAGGCGACGACATTAGTTTTAGTGCGGGTTGCAACGGAATATTTCGAAACTTTTAAAAATAATTAGATCTTTATGTTTAATACGAGTGAAATTACACAATGAGGATTGATTTGAGAGATCCTTGTGTATTTAGAATAATTGGATATAAAATATGCTTTAGTGCAAGCATTGATTTTTTTTTATGAGTTTCAAATTTGATCCTAATTCTACTTGGAGGGGAGGAAGAGGGGAAATATAGGGAAATGAGGACTATAGGAGAAAGACTGATAGTGCTCCTAGTAATCTAGAATACATAACATAGCGAAATATAAGGGAACAAATATGAAGTACGGCTTGGTCAATCAATCAAATATGATTGTTTGAGTATAAACATTGATTAAGTGGGGAAATTTAATAACGTACATTATTTACATATTTATAGTTTGATAATTCTATGTATTTGGAGCTTGATTTCTATTAAATTGGTTAATTTGGTGAACATATGCGTAGGTGTACTTGGCAAGTAATTAAGGTAGCAAATTATGTGAATGGCTTGGTAAAAATAATTATTTTTGGTGAAGGAAAAAAAATACAAAACCACATATAAGCTTTATTTGTATTTATTATAATCTTTAGTGTTTAAAATTTATTTTTATTAGTTAAAAATAGATTTTAGGTTTATTTTATTTTCTCTACAAAAGAAATTTCAGAGGACAGTGGCCGCAACTTTGATTTTCCATTCAATTTGGCATTTACGCCAACTTTAGTTAATTGGCAAAATGTAAACCCTAATTACAACATTGTGGTGTGATTTGAGGCTTTGAGCTATGAGCCCTTGGGCTCGGGTGTGGTTATGTATTGCAAAGTCAAAGGCCTCCGTCTCCTACGCCATATAATTTTATGTTAAAAGATAAATTTATAAAATTTTAAAAAATAAAAATATATTATAAATAGAAAATAGAAAATATATATCGAAATTATATGAGATAAAATTTTCAGCAGCCACCGCAAACCCCTCTATTCATCCTTGCCTACACGTACAATGGAGTCATCTGGTTCCATTGTGATTTGAGGGAAGCAAGTAAGGCAAGAGCCGGTCCTTTTACTATTCAAATTTTAGTGCAAATAACTACAAGCATTAGGCTGTAGTTAAAGCCTCAAAGGCCATATCTTCTCACCTTCACCAGCTGCTTGATTTCCAGTTTACTACCTGTGCTCGTTCTTGCTTTCTTCTCCTCATTATTTTACATTGTTTATCATTGATCTTCACTTAGGCCAACAAAATATGTAAGACTAACAAATTCAAGAGGAAGAGCTTGACCTATGCAAAATATAGAGTAGTTCGCAGTGAAACATATATAAACTGGTGTACATGTATACTTTGGAGCATCATCATCAGACGGCATCATCCTTGCTGAATATATAAGAAAGTAGTAACACTTAGGTTTTGATTTTCTCTCATAACGACCATGCACTTAATATATCAACCTCTATATGTATATAGATATAGATACTCCATATTCAAGAACATATTTGCTTTTAAGTATAAGAGGTAAACCCGTACACAAATACCTATGGAGGATGATGATGAAGATGATTCCATCGAATCTCACAAATCAGCATTATCCAGTGGGCGAGATGAAGGCATCGATTTGATGATGGTATCAATGTACCCCTTCACCTGCATGTCATGTGCATAGGATGAGCCAGCAGATACCGGGAAACATGATGTTCGTGAGTCGATGCTTTCAAATGAAACAGATGCTTGTGGCACGCTGTTGAGCATTTTTCCTTGAAGGATTTCACCGAGTTTGGGCTTTGTTGGAGAATCCATCAGCTCATGGTCGTAATTCGTTAGATCAGGGGTTAAGTTGTCAAGCTTGCCACTAACAAAACTTGGAACCACTTCAATATTGCTGAAAATTTGATGGTGATCATGAGCAAGACCATGCTGAGAAACAAAGGGCAATGACCATGGAGCTGGTGGGAGCATTGAGGTTAATGGAAAACGATGTTGAACCAAATCCAAGTCGTAACTATTTAGGTCTGGCTTGAAATCCACATGAGAGGAAAGATAAAGCGAGTCCTGTTGAGCAGCAAGGATGAAATTAGGGTTTCCATTAAGAGAGATGAAAGAAGCTTCGTTGTCTGGCGCTGTAGAGGCCAAAGATGGAACATCACGAGAGAAAAGCTTCTTCTTGATACTTGAATTCCAAAAATTCTTCACCTCATTATCGGTTCTCCCTGGTAAATGCTTCGCTATCTGTGCCCATCTGTTTTCATGTTCAAACGAAGATGATAAAAAAAAACCAAAAGAAAGAGTAATGATGATGGGTAAGTAACCCAGTTTCCATAATAGTGGAAGAGTCAAAAATATAAGTTTATATGGAGCATATAATAGTTGAAGTAACCTGTTGCCTAGAATACTATGGAGCTCAAAGATGAGAGCTGTCTCTTGTGGAGAGAAACTCCCACGTTTTAAATCAGGTCTGAGGTAATTTATCCATCTTAGTCTGCAACTCTTTCCACATCTTTGCAGGCCTTCATCATGAACACAAATCCAATAAAAAAAACTAGTTCAAAAAAGATCATTAAAGGAAACAAAAAAAAAAAGATGGTTATATGAATTAAAAAGACCAGCAAGTTTAGGGACTGAGCTCCAGCAACCATGGCCGCCATAGGTTTTAATGTAGTTAATGAGTTTCTCATCCTCCTCTGGTGACCATAGCCCTCTCTTCACCTTCTGCTTGCTGCAACAAGAATGGTGTCCCATCTCTCTCTCTCAGAATATTGCAGAAAATGGCAGGCCAAGTGGAAAACAAGATCAGATGAATTTTGATTTCTGTAATGAAGAATTCTTGAGACCTAAGCCCTAGAAGGTGAAAAACATGGAAATGAGTACACTGGGAGGGTTTGAATTTAATGTAGAGAGCAGTACCCTGGTGGCCCAGTTAGGGTTTGTGGGCAAAAGGCTAAAATTTCTGCTGTGTAGAACTGTAAGTGTTGTATGGCTTAATGGGGGCTGCCATTTTACACGTGGCAGACATGCAGGTTTGTGGGACCCAATGTTCTTACAGGTCCCACTTGGACTTATGACTTCCAAGTATTTGTTAGAATTTTGTGAGCTGCCGATCCCATTCTTGTATTCCAAACTTCCCTAGAAACTCCCCTGATACTCTGATCACGACAGTAATAATAAAACTAATAATGAAGTCAGATGATCTAAGGGTTGTGATCGATTTGGTCTTTTCTGTGGGTCATGATTGGATCAGTGATCAAAACAGTAAAACTGATTGGAAGCCTTGCATTCTTTCTTTTACAAACCGACAGCAAGCAAAGTTTTATACAAGTGTTATACTCCACTACAGTTATAAAATTTATATTAGGGGAGGATTTAGAAAATTAAAATAAACAAATGGTTTCCGATGATTATATGGTATTATTTATTCTTTTGATTATTAAAGGTTATAAAATATTTTTTGATTAAAATGTGTTATTTTATTGAGTCCTCTGATTATTAAAAGCTACAAAAATAGTTACTCATCTATTCATATATTTTAAACTCTTCCATTTTCATTAAAAAATTGATCGTCGTCTGAGCTTTAAGTTAACATGTGACGGAAATATTATAAAATCTGATCTCATAATCGTTTAAGCTATATATTTTTGGATAGACTCTCCTACTTTATATCATCGAGTTAGTGTTTGAAATATTATGTCTTCGAGTCATTGCTTGAAAGTAACAACGGTACCACTAGGATGAGTTTGAAACATATAAATAATAAGGTGACCAGTTGACAACTTTCAATAGTCGAAAAACTTAACCAAATAACATTTTATAGTCGAAGAATTATTTTATAAATTTTAATAGTTTTTAATTAACACTTATAGTCTAGCTAAAATGACTACTTGATTGGCATGTAAGCAATGGAAGATATGAAGTAATTAATTAGTACTCCTCATGGACCACATTACTAGATTTAAAGTTGAAAATTTTGCAGAGTTTCTTTCGTTTCATGGAATTTTTAATATTTTGGAGCTCACCACTCTTGAACGGTAAAATTTAATTAGGGATGATCATGGTTGAATGTGTTAGAATATTAGATTTTATTGTGATCAAATTTGATATGAGTAGTACGGATAAAGTGAATTTAGTGGTAAAGAAATTGTTATTGTTCTTTAAAGTTTTGTGTTGAGTATAATGAATGTCAAGAGTATGAACGTTCAGTGTCAAATAGTTCATATATTTGAATAGATAATGCATTGTACTTACTTTAGATAAAAAAATTGATACGAGTATTATATATTTAATTCTACATCTGATTTGATCCGAGTTTAAAAAAATTATTCGACTTAAAACCTGAAGTAAAAACTTATAACTGGCCTGATTTGAATATAAAAAATCTTATTTTTATTTAATAAAATGATGATCTAACTGAAAAAATTGAAAGATATTATAACAATTATCTCGAAATATATAGAGAAAAATTATATTGTTATTCTCAGATTGGACCAGATTAAATATTTTTTACTATAAACTCGGATTTAATCTGACCCGGCTTAAACCAAAATTTTAAAATTTAATTTTATAAAATTGAATAAAATTAAAATCTTTTGAATTCAAATTAAATTAGATTTTAATATACTAATAGGGATTAGTTCAAGTGATAAGCAGTTTAATATTGTTTAAGCAAAGTTTTGTGTTCGAGATTTTATATATGTAAAAAAATCTATGTTATGAGAATCACATACTAAAATCAAGTATGCGACAATAATCGATCAAATCAATCAAAATCAAACCTTTAAATCGAGAGGAAAGAAAATAGATTTAAACCTACATGACATCAAAGAGACAATATTAATTTATAGTAATGGCGGGTCATAATGAAAATTCTAAATGAAGTATAAAAATGTGAGAAAGTACTAAATTTAATATAATTTTTTTACCGTGAAATATTTCCATCCACTAAACCTATTAAAATAGTAGAATTTGTAGACGAAAGAATTACTTGTAATGATTGAGTTGGGGTCACCTGTCATCATAAAAAAAGGGAGGGACAGCACCCCGGCGTCTATATTCAAACTCTTCTATTGTTACTATCATAGGTAGGATGATACAGGAAATTGATTTGCCAGTAAAAGAGGCTGAATCATATGTGTCCACAATGATATCCAATGTTCATAATATATACTTATATTTGATTTTGGATGTAATGTTTTTATAAATAATTATTTGAGTATTTTAACTTTTAATATTTTAATATTTGATTAAAATATTTTCTGTTGGATGAAAATCATTAATTGATCAATAATCAACATATATTACTGATGTGATGTTTTTATATGTATTTAATTATTGATGTAATATATCTTACGTCATTTATAATGATAACGTAACATGTATTATATCATCTATAGTGATAACATTACAAATGCTACGTAACACATAGTGATGGTGTTGCATTTATCACATCATTAATTAAGAACATGTAAAAATGTCACGTTAACAATGTATATTGATTGTTACTTGACTAACAATTTGCTTCCAACATAGTGTAATTTGACCAAAAATTGAAACATTTTAAGTTAAAATGCTAAAAAAGAGAGGAATATGTGCCAAAGTGATCATTTGTGCAAACATTGGAGGATAATTTTATCATTATATAATACCATCCCTCTAAACTTTAAACCATAAATTATCAAATTCATAATTCTAAGCTTTAAATAAAACATACAATATCAATATTATTCGAGGACGATCATCCTTGAAAATTATCAAATTCCTAATTCTAAACTTTCATCATATTATATCTCTAAAATTTTATAAGTTCCTCATGTACCTTAAATCCTACGCCGTCTCTATTTTAAGGTGTTCATTGCATTTTATCATATTTTTTATGGTCGGATTGCTCTTTCGACATAAGTCGTTCGGTTGTTCATTGCATACACCTTTTAGGGTGTGTTTGGTTGGGGGAATGTGAGATTCTCATGAGAATGGAATTCACATTCCCCCGTTTGGTTGGCTGGGAATGTCATTCCCGGTAATCTTACATTACCAATAGTAGATTTTTTGGGGTATATTACCGGGAATGTCATTACCTCCCTTTCCTTAGGTATTGTTGGATTACTGGCATTTTGGACTAAAATGCCATTTAAAAAAAAATCCTTTCAAAAATATCCTTATTCTTTCATTGAATAATAAAAATTCTACGGATGTCAAATTATAAATTTATCCTTAAACTATTTTATATTTACAAAAAAAAATATATAATTAAAATTTTATATGAAGTTCAGGGGTTAAAATAAAATTTTACCATTTCATTAAACCTTTTTATATTTTCAATTTTGTAAAAAAAATTATATAAATTTTATGAATTTAAATTTTTTAAAGAAAATATATAAATATTTTTCAACATGTTAAAAAAACAAATATATAATAAGGACAATTTAGTCAAATATACATTCCAATAATTTTTTATTCCTTTAATCAAACACGGTAATCTTACATTACTGCTAAACCAACCAAACACAAAATACAACATTCTCAGTAATCCTATTCACTGGTAGTCTTTTATTCCCACCGGTAATCTTACATTCCGTGAACCAAAGGACATTTTATGGTTTTTAGTTGGTTTTTGGAGCGAAAGAGAAGTGTAGGCTTGCCATTCAATAACAGAACTTTAAACGAGACCAAAAATCAAACTTCTCTTCAACATGCTTAAGTTGCATAACACTGCAAAAAAGTCTTTTGCAGGATTTCAACGTATGATACTATGATTCATAACATGTATCTGTTACATAAAAGAATTTTATTGCCGTCTTCATTGACGCCACTGATTCCTTGGTCCGTACAATTCCCTGGAGAAATTTAATGATGGATTCGAATCCGGACTGCCCCGCATCTCGTCCTCGCAAGAAAGTGTCATCAATGTCTTGTGGAAATATTGTAAATCTTCATCAACCACACGTCTCCGCCGCAAATTTTCAGGCGAAAACCTGAATTTCTTCTGTTTAGCTTTGATAGACTCTGTGGGGTTCATGTAGCTTGGTTTTTGAGTACGAGTTCCTGCAATGTGAGTGTTGCTAGACAATGTAGTTGGAGATACGGACGCGGATGAGGTCGATGTTTATCTTTTGTCTTAGACGGACTCAGAACTTGGGGCAGACAATGAACCTGAAGTTTGAATGGATGCATGAGGCCTAAAAAGAATTCTGGTTGTGACATTGTTCCTTATAACTTTTAAGGACTCATGTTCAAAAGAGCCAGAGTAATCTTCACTTTTTCGAGAAATCGTGTTCCTCTCGTCGTCTTCGATGGTTCAATAATCTCTTCCACAGCCTTGGTTTCCCAGGACTTGATTGCCATCCACCGATCACGCCGATTCCAATCTAGCCTTTGATGCTTGCCAGAGAATGGCTTCTTATTCACCCTCCGATTCAGACTCGCACATGATCTTGTCTGCAGCAAAAGTTATACATTTTTATCACATCTGGAAATTGGCCCAAACCGGAGGAACAACCTAGCATACAAAAGTTGCTCTCTCTAGGATACCTGGTTTAAGGAGTATGCAATTGCTCTCTCCCTCTTGATTGCACCTTCTTGCCTCATTTGTTTTTTCGCTCTTAATTCGTCCAATGTTCTGATGCTGTCGCACCATCCTTTCTGAAAATCGATATTGACTAGCTCTTCGTTATCATACAGATAAAGAGTTATAATTGTAAAAGTAAGATGGATAATGTTTAACCTCAGCTTGTTTGTGGCATTCATTCAGCATAGCTTGTCCTTCACAAGGTAGGGCACATTGGGCTCTTCCTCGATCTTGGACTCTAACAAGAGCTTGCATACACCTTAATGTCACAGCAGCTTGCTTTCGGACTGGACGACCTCGAAATATAGCTTGAATCCTTACGACAGCTTTCAAGGCTCTTAGGGCTCGTCTTGCCTGAGAGCATTTCATCAAGGCTCTTACGACACCTTAACATGAATTGAAATGATAACCAATACCAATTTACCCAAAGATTAACTAATTATTCCTATCCATATCTCAAATTTACCATTGTCCATTAAAGAAAAATGCAAAACTGCCTACATGGATTAGTGCTAACCGAGCTAAGTCGAATATAATAATATCTATTCAGAGTCATGAACAATTAGCACACACAATGCAGAAAGTAAGAGAGTATACCAACAAGGCCCGACATGCAGTCTGGATTCGAATGGCGGCCCATTCTCGCTTCACAGCTCTGAAATCTTTGGGTGGAGCACGAGCGAGGGTAGCCAGAGCTCAAGCGAGCACACCATCTGCCATGGAGGATGAATTGGAGGCCTCTGATGAAGCAGCCACGTGACATATCTTGATACCCTTGGATACCAAACCCTCCGATGAGCTCCTCCACAGCCTCCATTTCTTCTTCGTCTTGTCTCCCACCTTCTCGTACAAACCCAATAACAAAAAATAATAAATAAAGCTAAGGAAAAAAGAAGAAGAGGGTAGATGGAAATTACTTGGTTAGAGGGATCTTGAAGTGGTTTGAAAGTTACAAGTGATTTAAGTCATTTCCCAGAGGCACCCATCTTTTTTTTTTGGGGAAGCTTGAATTTGCAGGGAAAGTGGAGCAGATGATGACGGAGACTTGAGGTTTATGAACCGTTGCGGGTATATTGGGTTTTGAATTTTCGAAATTCGAAAATATAACAAAATTTGTCTTTAATAAATATTTAACGGATACATTTGAGTTTTAGCTTTTTCCTTTTGGATTTGATCCTTCTTAAATTCCACATGTTGTATTGTCTATTCCGCCAACAATCCGCCAAATCTAACTTCAAAACTAATACATATTTTAAAAATAAAAAATAATTTTATATTTTTTTTATGAAAAAAAAATTTAATCAATAGAAAATGATTTTTTATGGTGGGATGTATTCTCTATATTATTAACAGCGAATTTAAAAATATTTTTAAAGGTGAACGTACATGTGTAAGTAATATAAAATTTCATATGAGTATGTATAAATAAGATTTAAGAGTGGACATAATTAGTTAAAAAAAATAACTAACTGAAAAAAATTTAAATTTTAGGATAGACATATGTCCATCCTAGGCATCCTCCCTTTATGCCATTATACTATTGCCGTTAGAAAATTTTCACATTAATAGTTCAATTTATTTTTAAAAGGTGGGTGATTAAAATATAACAAAAACATAAAATTAATTATGATTTAAAATATATTTATTAGACGATCAAAACGAAACTAAAATAATAATTAAGTGAACGCATATAGATCGGTTGTTTTTTTCCATTGAATGTAGATATCTTCCATGTTTATGGATGAAGAAGAAAGACTTCCGACATTTATTTGTATTAAAATTTTAAAAGAGTGGGAAGCATAAGTGCAACTCTAAAACAACAAAGAAAAACTCTACGGGAGAGGGAAAAAAGATAAATTAAAATATAACATAAATCGAGTTAGGAATAAATTTGTAAAATTTTAGGAGAGTTGAACTTATTAACTTTTAGATATAAAAATAAATTATCGATAAAAAATGTAAAAAATTTAAAATATATAATAATTTAAAATTTTCAACTAAAACTCTCTGAGTTTTGATTGTCCTTATAAGTATTAATTAGCAGCCTGAAGCCGGACCCTAGGGCTAACGAGTCCGAGGTAGGCAAGCCTAGGAGACAAGTGAAGCTTTGGAGTGGGTCTGGGAGAAGGGATGGGAGGGAAGCCGAAGCCCGGGTTGAGCCTTGGTGATAAATTAACATGCTCAAGTGCCTTGAATTGCAGCTGTGCTGGGTAATCTCTCACACAAACGATTCGATGACCCACACCTGTGCTCCATTTGTATCTCAAATTAACTCCCCTGCTGCTTCTATCTTCACCACTTTCTTCCTTTCCAATGCAACTCATCTCTTTCGCATGAATGAATGATGTATTTTCCGATGTCTCTGGTTGTTTCGCTTCCTTAATCTCCCTTGGGATATCATCATCTATTGGATATTTCTGCACAGGAATGCCATCATCGTCATCATCATCCAATAAACTGCATAATTCCATGAAAAACACAATGGATTCGGAGTTTACCTTAACGTCGGTCAAGTCGACGTGATGTTTCTCCAAGAAACTGCATAATTCCATGAAATTCTCTTGTGTCGGCCGATAATGACCACTGTACGCCCACACAGCCTGAAAAAAAAAACACCAGAAATGAAAACCGGGTTTCACATATATAGATGTTGAACATAAATCAAAAACATGAAGGCGTTGATGGGAACATTGAAAACATACGTAGAGAGTTCCTTGACGAACTACCAATCTGCCGGATGCAATGGTGGCGCCACCAGCTAAGAAACTCGAGTGATGAAACTCACCTTTCACTTTCTCACCTACGTATAGGATTCGACATGTACTGAGTACAAATATCCATTTGCTTCCTTCTCTCGTGTTTACAGCTTCTTTGTTTTGTTTGTATATCAGCTTCCCTTCTTCCATCATCACTTGGTACGATTCCCTTTCTTTCTGCAACACAAAAATATTAAAATCATTGCAGGTTTCGATGTAGAGTGCAGGTGCCGATGGCAAATATATTACCGGTCCCAGATATTTGATGCATTGAGATTGTAGAACTGTTCGTGGACATTTGTCAAGGGTAACTGCTTTGCCATCTCCAACATCCAACCAGTAGAAGAAGGGTTGAGAGCTCTTACTCTCGAACCAAACATCGTAGTAAAAATGCAGATTGTGACCGTAACGGTGGTGTGGATCAATCTGCATGAAACGGTCGTAAAACTGTATGTCACGGTTAAGTGGGATTTACATCGGAAGGTTGACTTACAGCTTCAAGCCAGTGACGTAAAGCCAACCGCTGACCTTTTACGGCCTTTGACAGCCCTTTCCCTACCTATACACAAAGATTTTTCAAACTGAAAAATAATGTCATGGTGGACTTTGAACATACGCTGCATAAAAAAAGACAATTACACGAACCTTGGCGGCTCTTGTCCGAGCTCGTGCCCATCGGGAAACAGCCGTTTCCGATTTGTTAGAATTAAAGAACGATACAGAGCTCCGTCTAAGAGCTGCAAATTCTAAAGCCTTCCACCTGAACCAATATAAATGAATGGATTGAAGAAGAAGAAGAAGAAGAAGAAGAAATGAAGTGAGAACAAACCAGAGCTCTTCAACAACAACAGCACAATCTGCAAGGTTTCTTCGAGTCCGGTAACTCTTGTAAAACTTTTGCAGCTTAGTTGCCGCTGCATTAAGCTCTGCCTCCATTATTTCCGGTGCCGGAACAATCAAACGTTGAGGTGAATGTTGTTGTATGAGACAGAGGGAAGGGATCCTTTATATATAGCAGTGAAAAAGAATTTAGTTCAATTAAGAACATCACTGGGGAAAAAATGAAGTTCAATCAAACATGCATGGCATGCACCTTCAAATACGTAAGAGCCGTTTTTGAAAATCTTTGTCCCCATCAAACATGGTGGTTTGAATAGAAAAATACATAACACGAGTTGCTTGAAAACTGGAGTTGGAACTTTCCCCCATCATCTAACTTTTACTTCCTTTGAAAAAGGAAAAATGTGACTGTAATAATAGAAAACTTGTGGATCTTTCCTGAAGAATTAAGATGCTTTTATATGTGAAAGTGAAACAGAGGGAGAAATAGTCAAATAACCCGCTGGATCGTTTCCATTAAGGAAGACTGCGTTTTTTTCCCTCTCATTTCACAAATTGAAGCCTAGCTTCATATATGATACCTTATCATCATGTGATTATGGTCGGAGTCAACTATTACTCATGATTATATGAGAAGGGTCAAAATAGAGAGTTAATAAAAAATATAAAATTATATTAAAACTTAAATTTTGAACGAGACGAATGCTCATATCAACTTCTTTCAATCTATCTCTGATATATTCTTTTGAACATAAAATTTAGTCTTATTGTATTTCACCATCCTAAAATGATATCATCACTTAACATATCATCTCAAAATGTTATCATCACTTAATATATCTCAGCATGTGGGGGAGTGATTAGGGACAACAATGGTGAATGAGTAATCAGTTTCTCTAAAGCTGTGGGAATCTGCTCTGTAGTGGAAGCTGAGCTTTGGAGGGTGTTCAAAGGTCTATCGCATGCGTGGCGTATAGGAGTAAGACAGGTTATCCTTGAGATTGACAGCGTCGATGCATTTCGCTTACTGACCTGGGATAAACTGGGAGTGGCAGCGCCAGCTATCCTCCAGCATTACGAGAGCTAGAGAATAAGAATTGAGTGTTATCAGTCTTGCAGGTTCGAAGAGGAGAGAATAGGCTAGCCGACAACATGACAAAGTTGGTTCAGAAAGATGATTTTGAAGGATGAATCCTCCTGATGCCTCCAAATGCAGTCCGCTCGATACTCTCTGAGGACAATCTGGCTTGATGGCCTGATTTATTATTCTTGATTCATTATTCACCAAAAAGTAATTATTTGTATAAATCAACAATCAATTGTTCTTACTAAATCTCTTAAATAATATCATAGATTTGAATCTTAACATTGTGAATGAAATAATCTAAATTAAAAAAATTATCATATAATAAATTTCTGTAATATCTAAATCAGATTATTCTATTAATAGATTAAATACAAATAATTTAAAAGAAATTGATTTACCTAAAAGGTGCAGATTTTGATATGCAAATTGAATCCAATTTGGAAAAGAGATTGAAGAGAGAAGGGAAAGGTAATAAGTAAGAAGCAAGGGAAACAGCCGAACGAGTACCGACCAACTACCACTATTCCTCAAATCAAACACTTGGAGGAAGAAAATGTGGTGGTCAAATATGATTAAACTTAGTCATCATTATTCATGCATGTGGGGGCATGTGCCTTAGCCCTTGGGGAACAAAAGAAAAATGCTTATCATGACAACAAAGGTTTTGTTCTCTCTCATTACGTCTTATATTTTTTTTATGGGAAAATTATATGTTTATTTTCTCATTTTTTTATTTTGTTTCTATTTTAGTCCTCAAATTATGGCAAAATCATTTTCTTTATCATCAAATTGTTAGTTGTTTAATGCCAACATCAAAATATTGTATCGTGGGTAATTTTATTCATGACATTAACTTAAGAATTTACCTTTCTTCTTCCCCATGGTTAACATTGGCATTAAAATATTGTATTGTGGGTAATTTTATTCATGACATTAACTTAAGACTTTACCTTTCTTCTTCCTCATGGTTAACATTTTTTTTCGAGAACCATTCGTGACAAATCTGATATCAAATATTATTTTTAATGTCTTTCTTATTGTTAATTTGATTTTTCTCGAATTCTCTTCAAATTGATAAAATTCAAACAAAAACTTTGATCTTATCTTGATTTGATTTGATATGCATCTCCATCGTGTGGTCATAGTATAATCAAGATATAATAATTTTCTCCTCCTTAACTCTCTCACCATTCGGATTTGGAAGAAAATACTCTAAAATTAGTGAATCAAAAGGAGTCCAATAATCTGGGTTTAATAGAAAAGATTCAAGGGGCTTTTACACAAATTTCCCTAGAAAGTTTAATGCGTTAGACACTTAATAGATGGATGTTAAAAAATAAATTTCAAACTTGGGTACAAAATTAAAATATGTTAAAAGTTTAGTGACCAAAATATAAATGAAGTAAACGTTGAGTGACTAAATGCATAATTTACCCTATTATAAAGTTGTTGTTTTTAATAGTCTATGGTGATTATAAGATAGTATTTGTTTATAATTTTCTCAACCAATTGACAATGCACACACACCATATTGATACAACTGTTCAAATCCAAGACATCTGGAGAGAGTATTTTTTTTAATTATAATAGTGATCGTGTCAAATCTTACAAAGCTTGAATTTATGGCCTTGGATATAACTAGAAAGAACTATTTATCGTGGGTACTACATGTTGAAATTCACTTGGTTGCAAAGGGTATTGGTGAGACCATTAAGGAAGGAAATAAAGCAACAACTCAAGATAAGGGTAAAGCTATTATATTACTTCGTCATCGCCTTCATGAAAGTCTTAAGACTGAATACTTGATTGTTAAAGACCCTTAAATCCTTTGGATCAATCTAAGGGAAAGGTATGACGACCAGAAAATTGTAATTTTGCCAAAAGCTCGTTATAATTGGTTGAATTTAAGATTACAAGATTTTAAATCTGTTAGTGATTATAACTCGACTATGTTTAGAATCACTTCATAGTTGAATTTATGTAGAGAGAATTATTGATACAGAAATGCTAGAAAAAACATACTCCACTTTCAACGCAAATAATATTGTCTTACAGACAGAATATCGTGAAAATGGATTCAAGAAATATTTTGAATTAATTTTTTGTCTCCTAGTGGCTGAACAAAACAATGAGCTATTAATGAAAATCATGAATTACGACCAACTGGATCTGCTTCATTCCCTGAAGCGGATATGACAACTAAATATGAGCAAGATTGAAAGAAACAAACCATGCCGATGGCAGTGGTAATAGACGCGACTGTGGTCATGTTTATAGTCGCGGACGTAGACGTAGATATAGATATGGATGAGGTGGTCATTTTAGAAACTCATATTCCCACCGAAAGTGGGATCGTAAAGATGAAAGCAAGCATGAGAAAGAAAAGGAAAACAATGTGACCAAGAAATGTTATAGTTCTAGAGGAAAATGGCATTGGTCACGTCTATGTCGTACTCAAAAGAACCTAGTTGATCTTTATCAATAGTCACTAAAACAGAAGGGAAAGAAATTAGAGACAAATCTTGTGTATAAAGATGGCAAAGATGATTTTGATGCTAGCAATGCAACCCACCTGGAAACTGTTGATTTTTATTTTACCCCTTAAGGAAATAATAAGTCCACAAATTTTCAATGATCGTACTAAACTCTATTAATTTATGTTTATTTTTAATTATCTAGGTTTATTATTACTTTTATGAGACATTTTATTGTCATATATTTTAACTATTTGGATTTGGATATATGTTTTGGACATTATAATTGTATTTTAGACTATTTTTTCCCTTTTTTGAAGAAAATTATGAATACCTCTCAAACACAATTAGCAATGAATGATGAAAATTTATGCCTAGCAGACTGTGCAACTAGTCACACCATACTCAAAGATAAGAGATATTTTTCTCACTTAATAATAAAAAAAATGAAGTGTGAGAACTATATCTGGTAGTACGTACAAACATTGTAGAAGGCTCCGGAAGAGCAAATATAATATTGCCAAGGGGAACAAAGTTTGAAATCATTGATGCGTTATATTCCCCTAAGTATCAAAGAAATTTATTGAGTTTTAAAGATATTTGCCAAAATGAATATCATATTGAGACGATAAGTGAAGGAAATCATGAATTTATTCAAATTACGAGAATTACTCAAGGCAATAAAAAAGTTCTTGAGAAGTTGCCTACATTCTCTACTGGTTTGTATTACACAAAGATCATGTAACATCCTCAATACCGGGGTAGTGATCAAATTGTAAAGTTTCAGAATTTGATGACTAAAGTAGAAGAATGAAATAGTTCAATGATTATTTGAATATATATTGAAGGTTATTTAGTAATTATTAAAGGAAATTAAGGGTTAAATGGTCATTTGACCAGAAATATTTTTATATTTCTTTTTAAGGTAAAATAAACGTGGGAATTTGGAGAAACATCCAGAGTTCTCTTCTCCTTTCTTCTTCTTCATACGTGGGAGAGCAAGGCAAAGGTGAGAGTTTTATTAGTTGATTATTATTTGAATTTTAAGTTTGGTTTTGATTCTTTGGGTATTAAATAAGCTTAAGGAAAGCTTATATGTGATTTAAACAATAAGATAAAGGAATTATGAAGGAATTTGCAATATGAGTTTTAAGATGAAATTTTGATATGGTATGGTTGTTGAAGTTTTATGGATGAATTTGACTTGTCATCAATCTAATTAAGAAGTATGAAGTGTTAGAATTGGAATTAGAACACATTGAAAATTTGGTATGATTTTTGAATCTCATATGGAAGATAGGATTTTGAGGTTTAAGATGAAATAAATGAATATAGATTGGTTTAAGTATGTGTACTAGAGTTAAGAATGAAAAGGGGATGATATATGAAGTGTTTGAGTGGAAATGAAGTAATTTTCGGGTTGAAAATATGATTTCTGGGCAAGGGGAATCGGTACCCATTCAAGGGGAACCGATACCCCTTCAAACGAACAACATTTCCAAAATGTCATTAGGGAATCGATACCCCCTTAGTAGGGAACCGATTCCCCCTAAAGGAAAAATGTGCATATTGGTTTAATAAGTTCGTTTAAGTTGCTAGTATCCAATTACAAGGTGTAGGTATCTAATGATTGTCTTAAAATGTATAATTATGTAGATTCAGAGCCTAACCAAGTTCCGGAATCATTGACAAGTAAGATCGATCAAGGGGAAAGATAAGAGATTGGAATTGACTAGTGAGGCCAGGTGAGTGCATATTCAATAGTATATGATGTGCGATGGAAATAAGACTTGCGATGAGTCTATTTC